GAAAATGGCCAAATGACAGATCTGTTAAATTCATGAGAAACAAGTCATAATTTGAGCAAGTGTTTCAGCAATGCTGGTCTGAAAAGAAACAATGGGCTATATTCACCTACTTTCAGGAGTAAACGGCACATGAAAAATGTCAAGGAAGGGGAAACATTTGAAATGCTGACTGATAATGTGGTATCAGGGACAGAAGCTGGGAGGCTTGGACGGCTGCTGTATTTCTGTCTACACAAGCTTTTGACCTAGCAAAAATACCTTCTTTAGAGATTTAACAGGATGACACTCCGTATTTGACATCCACCAGCTGTCTCTGGCTATGAAGAGACAGCTCTTTTTCTGTAGCAAATCTGGAACTGTTTTTTATAGATTTGCTGTGAAAAGTAAACAGATAATTGAGGAAGACAAAATAAAAGCTTTTCTCCTTGTCAAAACCGCAGAATTTCAGGAAACAAATCTCTCTCAGTGGGTCTCTCAAATTCTTGGTTTTGTCTTTCACTGATTTGCTGAACCTTTTAATCTTCCATGTGTCTCTAGAATAAAATACTGCTGACGCCAGGAAGAGCTGTATGTGAAAATGGTGGTTTTGTATTCCTCCATGCGTGACTCTGGGTCCAGTGTGCTCAGTGCTGAACAAACACCTGCTGTGGGTGGACAGGACTGACAGATGCAGGAGGCGGCAGCGGGTGCATCAACCCCGTCCTGCGGATTGATGGCTGAGGTTGGAAGCACTTCGCTCGCCCGAGCTCACATGTGCTCTGTGTTTAGAGAAAGCAGAAGATCACCCAGAAACCCTGGGAGTGCAGCTGTCTGAAAAGCTTACATAAAAAACATTTTTCAGTAGGAAAACGTGGTTTTGATCAGAATTTCTTAGTGTTTTTTGTTTGTTTGTTTTTTTAAAAAGCTTTTGAACATTTCTTTTCCCGCCTCCCCTGAACTCTGTAAAACAGCTGCTCTTTATACACTTCTTATCGGTAAAATTTTAGGAGTGAGGTAGTTCAGATTTTTAGTAAATTTTTCATATTTCTGAATTTTTTTTCCTACCAAAATGCTATTTCTGTTTTACTTTCTAAGTAAATGTTTTCACTTCTCAAAAATTATACTACAGGAGCTTTAGCATTTTGAATGAAGAACAGTATTTCAAAATTTACGGTGCAAAGCATTTTAGATCTCACTGAATTATCTCGACATAGGATACTCATTTCCACAGCCCAGCAGGATCTCTGTTCCTTTCTGTGATGGAGATGATCTGTAGTAATTCTGTGAACAGGACTTTCAGACCGTGGGCTCTGAATGGTGTATAATTCGGATAACTGAGCACCTGTGGGTGTTTCATAGCACAGCTAGCTCAAGTAATCTGGCCTGGCATTCGTGTCTCCCAGGTCTGCTCATTTTGAGTGAGAGAAGGCAATAGATGGTAGCACAGGAGCAGTGTAGGTTGTTCCACAAGTGTGGTTAGGTGTTCCTGCTATGTCACCGCAAGTTCAGTGCCTGCTTAGGCCAGGTGCAAAGTCACTCCTCAAACTATTTTGTGTGTGTGTGTGTGAGTTTGACAACTGAGCTGAAGGACAACATTTGAATAACAACTTGAGCGAACTGCAGAAGGGAGCAGACTGAAGACTGACTCACGGGCAGCATTAAAACAAGAAGTTTTGCTAACGGATGGATTGATAATGTGCCTGTTATTTTTCTGGGATTTTATGCAGGAATTGATTAATGTTTTTTATCTGTTAGTGTTAAGGCCATTTAATCACTTAAGTTATGCTCTTTTACCACCAAACTGTATTCTTCATTTTTGCCTTTTGTGCTGAGGAATGCTTTCAAGATGAGTTTAAGAATAAATCACGAATCTTGCTTCTGGTTACTATGCCAGTGATAAGCATCATTATTAGTGCTATTAATTGTGTAGTGTTTGCTGGTACCCTCACTCCCCATTGCTTAGTCACTTAGCTTTCTGCAGAGTTCTATTAAAGTCCATGGGGCTGCCTACGTATAAAACCAAAGGCGTGTGTATATTGCTGATTGAAGCCTTAGATATTTTTATATTCCTATTTGTTATTTATATGCCATTGCAAGCTCATGTGCCCTGCTTTTTTTCCCCATATCACATAAATATTTTCTGTGCCTTTCAAATGAAGCTAATGCAGATGCTTTTTTTTTTTTAAAGAGAAATATAAATTGCTTGTCATCGGTGCTATGAACTTAGCTTATCTCCATCTTTCAATTTTTGTGTTGGTCTGGGATGACTGGAGATAAGCCACGGAAATCTTAAATATGAAACATGTTCTAATAAGGTTTTCTTGTTTACTGTTCATTTTCCCTAACATATTCCCAGGCATTTGCAATGACTAACCAAATTCTGGTGGAAAAGTCAGTTGTTGGCTGGAAGGAGATAGAGTATGAGGTTGTGAGAGATGCTGCTGATAACTGTATTGCTGTCTGCAATATGGAAAACATTGATGCTATGGGGGTTCACACAGGTAGGTTTGGGCACAAGGTGGCTCTGTAGAAATGGCTCCTTAACTTTTTTTTATGCAGTGCCCTTCTGCCTGCTGTTGTTGCCATAGCTGTGTGGTTGCTGAAGTGGGTTCTAGAAATGCTCTTCAGGTCTTGCATTCGGGCATGAAATAGACATTGTTAGGTTAAACCTACCCCTATAATCCCATTTCCCATAAGATTGTATGGCCTCTCCAACTCTGGGCTTGTAACTGTCTGTGCTTTTCATCAATTATGCATCCACAAGTTTGAATGTCTGTGGTCATTACTAGTAATAGGTTAGTAAAAAAGTTCCCTACGTGGCTAGAACTTACTGCCACTGCACTGCTTCTCATTTTCCTTCTCTGCTACCTTGTGGCCAACAGGGGATTCTGTTGTAGTGGCTCCAAGCCAGACGCTCACTAATGAGGAATTTCAGATGCTGAGGGATCGTGCCATCAAAGTTGTCCGACATCTGGGCATCGTGGGAGAGTGCAATATCCAGTTTGCTCTGCATCCAACTTCCCTGGAGTACTATGTCATTGAAGTTAACGCCAGACTCTCGAGAAGTTCTGCTTTGGCCTCCAAGGCAACAGGGTAAGACTGTTTGAAAAAAATGCTAAAACTATAGAACAAACAAATGAATAAACAAAACCCGAGAATTGCAATAAGAGGTCGGTGTACTATTTAAATATGTAAGTGACAGCTGCAACGAAGAGGAGTTCCTGCATCTGCTTTCTGTCCAATGAAGACAAGGAGGCACAGGCTTAATTTGCAGCAAGGAAGGCTGAAGATGGCTGTTAGGGGAGAACTATGGAGTGGTCAGCTCAGTAAGGTGCAGATTTCTGCATGGAAAGCTTCTAAGAACTGTCCTTGTCAGCATCTGCTAGGATTGACCCTTGGAGAGTCGGTCCTGCTGGGAGATGGAAGAAGTGGGCCCTCCAGGTCCGCTCCAGCCTCCCAATGCTGTTACTACAAATGGAAAAACTCCCAGGATGGGGGGTGTGTGTGTGTATGTGCGAGCTTCATAGCTGTCCTCACAAAGCATATCCACTGTATCCATATGTTGGCTGCAAATCATCTCTGCGACCCAGAGGACACAGTTATTAATGAGCTGTCTGTCAGATTGATGCAAATGGTATTGCTAGCTGCCTTTGTTTTGTTGGCTAATCACAAACTAATCAGGATAAGGATGGTCAGAACAGGCTGTTTAAAAATTGGCTTCTTAATTGCACTTTGCAGATGCTGTTGAGAGGCACAAATTAATCTCTAATTTGCAGTTCTCGGCAACGCTTGCGGTTGTTGAAGTGCCAGAGCAGACTGGAGATAAGCCATGATGTTGGACAGTGGGTGTTTGATTGGGGGATTTTATGGGGGTGACAGACTTGCAACAAAACATATATCTGTTTGTGGTCTCACTGTGGGTGCAACACATTTAAAACTGATTTTGTAGATAATAAAGCAAGTCCCATATCTAGGTAGATAGCTTTACAATGGGCTAAGGTAGGAAGCTGGATGGACCCTCCTGCACGTGATAACAATAACCTTCCATTGTGTTGAGGAGGGAAAACCACCTCACATCTGTTCAGTTTGATCCACTCCTGGGATTTGCCAAAAGCAAAGTACTTCCCACTGTACCATTCTCTACCTTTCCTGTGTGGCAGGTATCCATTAGCATTCATTGCTGCCAAAATTGCCTTGGGGATCCCCTTGCCAGAAATCAAGAACGTGGTGACAGGAAAGACCTCTGCCTGCTTTGAGCCCAGCCTGGATTACATTGTCACCAAGATACCCCGCTGGGATCTGGACCGTTTTCAGCACACGTCCAACCGCATTGGAAGCTCCATGAAGAGTGTAGGAGAGGTGAGTGCAAGGTTCTCCGCTTCCATTCCAATGCTTGGGAAGGTAATTTCTCTTTCTCGGAAACTCTCAGAATATCTGTCTTTGGGGACCTAATGGCTTGTGAAGATATTTACTCAGCTGAAATTATTTTAATCCAGTATTATAATTAATTTGGTTCAGTTAGAACTATGGGATCTTGTATGTCACAGTTTGGATTCATAAATGGTTTGACTGTTAAGGGAAAAGACCACTTTGGATCACATGAGGTTGACTTCATTCTTAATGCTGACTGCAGGACTCAGTTATTTTTTGTTTGGGGTTCTGTAGTGGTGGTTGATGAGAGTATAACTTCAGGAGCAGTGGTCTAAGACTTTCAGTGATGTCGATGAGCCACAGATCTCAGTTGGTTGTTCCCAGAGTTATTTGTCATCTCTGTTAAAAAACAGATGCGAAATCTTAGCCTACTTCTACTCTTGAAATCCAAACACAACCTGTAATCTTGCTCTGAAGTTTTGACTTCTCTTAGTGATTAAGTGTCTTATATGTAGAACATGACGGTGTGACTTTTAAACCCTGATTTTAAGGTGTCTGGGACAATAACAGCATTTTCAGGCTGCTTTAAGAGGAAGGAAATGAAGCAAAATGGGTAAATTACCCACTTAATTAGCTAATTACATATCAGCTACCAATCAGCTGCCTTTTTCTCCTAATGCTATTCAAGTAGTTATTTTATTAAATTATTTTGACAGATGAGACCTTCCTAACATCAATTCTACCTTGCTGAGACGACAAGCCATCATCACAACTGGAAGGATTAATTAAAACTTGATTTTCCAGAGGCAGTTTTGGCTTTTAGTGGCAATGGGGAGTTTTTTCAGTGAGTTTTTGCTTACTGATAGTAACCCTCTCTGCCTAGGGGTTTTTGGACTGTTCTGTGGAGCTGGGGTTCCTAAATGCAGTTGCCTTGTGCGCCATCAACTCTAAACACTTCCTGGCCGTACACATTTACGGGAGGAAGAATCGAGTCCTTTCAGTGGTCATATCTCACAAAAGTAGAACTGCATGAACTCCCTGTCCTTCTCAAGGCGGGATACTGGGTAAAGGGAGAGGGAAATGTAGGAAGAGTCAGTGCTCCAACCATACAGGTCTATGACTGCTGGGAGGGTGAACTGAAACAGGGATGGAGAAGCTTAAGAGTGGAGGTACTCAGCAAGAAGATCTGTGAGTAGAAGAAGGCGTCTTTGAAGCAAAGAGCTGCTTGCTGCTGTGTCTTCTCTATTAGTATTGCACGGTCATCTCCCTAGGTCTGAGCTTGAAGCCAGATCGCAGCACCTACTGCATTTTTATTAATTGAGCAGTCTGGCCTGCTCTGTTTTTTTTCCTGAGCTCTGTTGCGCTGGGCAGTGGGCCTAGAGCTGTTAAAAAAGAGAAAGCAATGTTACTTTTTTCCTCCTGACGTTTTTTAACGTTGTGTTTGAGGAGATTTTTATGCTGTTAGGGTTTCACCGTGCTGGGAAATAAAAATGTAGAGATTTGAGAAGGGGCTCTGTTACCTTGCAGATTTCCACAGAGAAAGGCATGTTTTCTTATTAGATGTGATGTCAAGATTGAAGGAGGGAAACCCCAATGCTGCCATGCCAAGGAGGAGTAATCCTTTAAAAGAGCCCTCACAGGGGAGAGTCACTGTTAAATGTAATTTAAAGGAAGAGGAGCAGATTTCTTCTGAACCTTAAAATTCCCCCAGTGAGTTTCTATCTCTAACAGATTGCTAACCAGAAATACCCTTCTGTTTTACTACACCCATGCTGCAGCACGATGCCTCCCTCCACTAACGTGCTTCATAGCAGTTCATAGAGGAGAGCAGGAGTTTCCTATCTTACAGTCAGGGAGACGGAAGCAGAAAGGAGTCACTTGTCTGAAACTGTTGATAATATTGGCAGAGTGAGGCCTAAAAGTGGGACTCCAAAGGCTCAGTCAGCTGTGCCTGTCTTAAAGCCAGCAGAGAGGCTTGGAGAGGAGGTCTGAAGGCTGTAACCTTCCTGTGTGTCTATCTTTGTGGATTAAATTTGCACTCCTCTGTTACAGTTTGGGAGAGAGCTGGGCAGCGGCTCACCATAGCTAATGTGGAAGTGCTCTCTGTTACAGGTCATGGCTATTGGATGCACTTTTGAAGAGAGCTTCCAAAAGGCCCTGAGAATGTGCCACCCCTCTGTAGATGGCTTCACTTCACAGCTGCCCATGAATAAAGCGTGGCCAGCCATCGTAGATCTCCAGAAGGAACTCTCTGAGCCATCCAGCACTCGGATATATGCAATCGCCAAGGTAATAAAAGATAAAAGCCCTTGACCTATGTCCCTTGAATTATAGCTACCAGATTGGGTCAACTGAAGTGACAGAACTTGAGTAGTTTTCAACTCCCTGCTTCCCTCTTTCAAGCACCCTGGGACCAACTTGTATAGGATCCTTTGTTTTGAAGTACAGATGTTGTCTATCGCATGCAATTTCTTCTGCAGAGCATAATAGCTGCGTGGGTATATGACTTTAATTTTTCCTTCTGACATCTATATTTCCCTGCATCTCCTGTATTCAGCTAATGTGTTTGCCTTTCGGTACAATTTGAGCCCGTGCTCATTGCGTTCAGCAGCTGGTGCATTCCTGTGTCCTGGCACTTCAGGTTTGTAGCTGAGTGTTGGTGGAGACCTGGATCGCTTCCTTCTGTTTGCTCCTATGATATAGTTGTGTGCTAAATACTGGCTAATGTTCCTCCCTTATTTACTCTAGTGTAAGTGTCAGTCAAATTTGGACAGTTTTGCAGATTACCATTAATTTACCGGAAGGGAGGAAAGAAAAAGTGAGCACACTTTTGAGAACTGAAATAAAGGATGATAAAGAACGGCAAGCTGCAGCCTGGGCCTCTTTGCACTGTCTTTTGCAATTGTTGCATTGGTATTGGCTTGAAACTAAAAAAAACCCAACAAACAAACAAATTAAAACTCTGATAAACTTAGCATACAGGAAATTCCCTGTTCTTTCCAGTGTCTGGGTAATGGGGCAGTATTATTGTAAGGGGACCTAGAGAGTGAAATTATTTCTTCCTTCAGCTCCACGGTCTTTGCCTGTGTACATGACATGGTAAATGTGAGGTTAGTTCCTTTACAAGGTAGATGCAATTTCGCTCTTCGCTGCAGCTGACTTGTCCATCTGTCCATACCCTCTATGGAGGGGACAGCTGTCTTTTATAGCTCACACTAATCTCTGTGGATTGTTGGGTTTTTGGTTTGTTTTTTTTTTTAAGATTGCAAACCTTACTGGCAGGGAATGCCAAGTTACTGGTTTTTGTGCCCCTGACTTTGCGTGGTGAAGCCCTTAAACCCCTTGTGCTCGTGTGTAGATACATCTCGTTCCATCCTCCGCATGAGCGTGGGGAGCTGAGGTTGTGCTGTATTTGTAAAAAGGTTTTCACGTAGCTGCTCCTCTTATAAATGGCCTGAACGAAAAGCACAAGATGTTCTATAATTGTGTGGCTTGTCCAGCTGTTGACTCTCGCTTTTCAAGCTGGGGAAGTGTGTGTCTTCATAAGTGTAGAACATCCTTCAGCAGCTGTGCTTGGTCTGTATTATAGCTTTTTCTTGTGACCGAGAGAAAAAAATCTTGCTTCTTGTCTCTTTGAGTGGCTCAGAGAGCTTTTATGAAAGGTTAATCTTAGCCCCATGTTAACATAGGGGATCTGGGGAGATGAAGGTGATTTTGGGCCCCAGTGAACACTCTGGGTGTTCCCAGCTGGTGGCATTTTCACTGGGAGCTGTCAAAAAAAAACAGATCAAAGTCTTAATCCCTCCCTATAAAGAGCTGCTTCTGCCTGACACAGTGCACTAATTCATCTCCATTAATAACTGAGGCAAGCAATATCAGTAAGAGGTACCTCTGGCAGCTGAGGCTGCCTGCCTGGAAATCCCTTCCCAGCTTGCTGACATTTAAAAGCCAACAGTTAGTGCCTGTTAGCCCTCAGCTTTGTTTGAAACAGGATGGAGCTTCATTGTATATCTTCTCCTTTTCCCCAAGCCCCACTAGTCAGCTCTCCAAGTTTGTCCTTTTCTCTCTCCTTTGCCTGTTGTATGATGAAAAGAGTAACTGTTCAGGTGAAAGGGAAGGGAGTTCAGCTGCCATTCAGAGCTATTACTGTTGTAATGGGACTCCCTGTTGTCATGTAAGAGAAGGCACTAGGAGAGAGGTTGAAACAGATGAGACTTGTTCCTTGGCCTGAGTGGCCTGCCTGATCAGGGCTGCTCAGGTTGTATCAGATCTTTTCTGGACCCTCTTAGGGATTGTATACAAGTGGTCTTGTAATACTTACGCTGTGGATTCGATCCACGCTCTGTTTCACTCCAGGGCCCTGGTTGTAGTTGTCCACACTACGGACATGTTAGTTTTCACTTAAGCTCCTGTCCACAGGCAGTTAAATACTTCCTCTGGTGAGGAGCAGGGATGGGACTGAAGGAACAGAGGTGCTGGCCCTAGAGACAGTACAGGTTTATTGTACAACCCTCTGTTGCTTGGCCTGAAGATCAGGTTTGCTCTCCAACTCACAGTGTAAAGGCAGTCCTATAAAGCCCTTGGCTTCCCAGTGTGAAGCCAGTGTCTACTGGATGGGGCGCTCTTGCAAGTGAGCAGGGCTCTCAAGTCATGCTGTCCATTTTAACGTGCCTCCCACGTGGTTTGTGAAAATACTTGGGCAGAAGAAAGACCTGCTCATGTCCCACTAATGTGGCAGTGTGACCTTCCCCTCCCATGCAGTAAGGAATCAGGATGGGAGGGACCCCTTACCAGTTGTCTCATACCAGTATTGTACCCAGAAATGTGTGAGAAGCCCTGCCTTGTTAGCAATAGTGCTCAGGGACCACAGTGATGGCCCCAGGCTTCTCCTTCCAGGTGTCTGGAAAAGCAGTGGCTGTTGAGTGCCAAGCACTAGCTGGAGGTTTGGTGTGTAAGTGACTGGTTACTCTAAAGGAGCAACATGTGCATTAGAGACTTTCACTGCTGCTTGTGAGCAAGCAGGATATTCGAGTCAACAGTTTATTACCTCTCAAAGGTAACTACAAGAGAATAATTGTGAGAGAGAGGCCCAGGCAAGTTGCCTGGAAATCCTTTAGAAGAGGTGGAAGGTGACACCAGTATTTTGTAGTGCCTGATGAGAACCAATGCCCATCCCTTGTCAGTGTGAGTGGTGCCTTCTTGGACCACAGCACTGAAGCTCGTGCTTCACAGGTATTTCTCTTGGCTGGCATCAAGTCTCCACATCCCAGCGCTGAGGCGTGCAGTGTCGGTACAATGCTGTGTCTGCAGCTTGATCTCAGAGGAATAATGCTGGGGTGCAGTCGGCCAAGCTCATTCCTGGGTTAATGCTGGAGTTTTCTTCAGTGGCATTGCTCTGGCTTTATTCCAGGGATGCTGCCCTGCAAGAAAACAATTAAGCGTGGTTAGTTAATGAGCCTGATTATGTTAGCTCAGCAAAGATACCGTGCTGGTATTATCATTATGGTTGGTGAGACCCAAGAAATATCAGAGATGGAAGATACAACTGTATTATGTTGAGGGACTATTTAGCATATTCCTCTGAGATTTATTTTTAATATGCAGTGTCCTGCAATCCATTGTCTCTTGAATTACTCTGCGGGGTTCCTTTTTATCTGATGGTTGCAAATAGTTTGATAAAAGTAAAATAATAATAAAAAAATTAGTCCTAGCAAGATAATGCAGGGGAATTGGAATGACCTTGAGATTTGTTTGAGATACAGAGAGAGAAGCCTGAGTTATGCTGTAACTGCAAAGTGTTACCTGGGACTGGACTTTGCCTTGCTTGAGGCATATTTCAAGGCCACATGTTTAGATTCTGCCTTGTATTTCAAGGGCAAATCAAATTTATGCTCCAAAGCAAAGAGTTCCTCCACAGCTGAGAATCTGGACCCTCCTGTTTAACATTTGCATCTCGGAGGTTGGCAGTAGGTCTGAGATTCAGGCAACTTGAGCAGTAAGGGTTGCAGATGGAGGACTTGGCAGTGCAGGCTGCATAGTCCTCACTATAGGTAGGTAGAGCACATACTCAGTGGCCACCAAGCCTTGTTGCCATCAGTTTGCGTTTGGCTGCTGGCTCTGTGAAAAGCAAATTATTTCTCTCTTGCTCAAACAGAAGCCAGCTTTTGGTACTGAAGCATGTGCAGAAGTGGCTGGTGCCTCCCTACACTGCTTGAGGGGCATGTTTTCTGTTGCTGCAGGAGACTGGATCCTGGGGTAGATGAACCTTTGATTTGTCCAGCTTAGTCTACAGTATTTTTATGTTCTATAGTTGCTGCTACCTATTTGTAGACTAGATTTGTATTTGTAAAGCACATATTAAAAGGGCTGTTTGGCATTGTCCTCCTTTTGCAGGCCTTGGATAGTGAAGTCCCTGTGGATGTCATTCACAAACTCACAGCCATTGACAAGTGGTTCCTGTATAAGATGCGTGGCATTGTGAACATGGAGAAGATCCTGAAGGAAGGGAACAGGTAAGAAAAACCTTGTCCTAGGAGACAGCGGTCCTTCCAGAGATCCTCCTGCTGGAAAACCTGTGGTGGACTGTGAGCACAGATGCAGTCAATGCCGAGCAGTTTATTTCAGTGCTTGGAGTAAGCAGTGTTGTCTCAAAACCCAGTTCACTGCCTCACCCAGACAGAGGAAATTTCTGAAAACACTCTTTTTGGTAAAATAACTCCTTTGAGTGCTTAGGCATCTTGGTTGTTCTTGGACATTATGGAATTTCTGCATTATTTTGGAAGATCCTTGCTGTATCTCTGAGGCTAAGGCTGGGAATGAGCATGGCCTGCAGTGAGTAACAGCAGGCTGTGCTTGTGTTCCTAGGATGGAGGTAGACTTCAAACACTGGACTGTTCCTGACTTACTACACCTGAGGATCACATACATAGCATTGCCTGGCCAATTGATTTTTAAGCTTTTCTGCCTTGCTGTGATCATGTAGTATGTGTTGCTTTTGTACTGCGCTTTCAAATATCTACAATTCCAGACATATTTAAATATAAATCTCCTTTCTTCGAGAAAAATGACCATATAAAACTAAGCGGGAAAGATAGGAGTAAATTAAAGCGCTGGGCTGTATTTCAGCTCCAGCCTCTCGTTGACGTGAGCTTTACCTTCATGGTTTACGAGGTTGAGCGAGCCTCCTTGCTGAGTTATTGGCTGTGTGTTGGCTGGTTTTTCTGCTTCGGGTACCCGTTGTGTTAGCCGCTTTTCACCACATGATGGCACTGGGAGCGCACCACTAAGGTGCTGGTTCGTTCATCCGCTGTGTTTGCTGCTGCCCTGACCAGCTGCACGGCTTTGATTGAGCAGCTCTTGCTCTCCCTTGCCCCCCCCGGAACAAGCTGAGCAAAAATAAATGTGGAAGGAGGTGTTGAAGAGAAGGAGTAGCTTGATTATTTACAGAAATCTGTTGTCTGGCTGCACAAGTTTCTGCCCTCTAACATCCGTGTCATGTTGTATTTGTCTGGAGCGCCCTAAATATATACGTGCAGCTCCTGAGGAAGAAAAACAATATATCCAGAACTTCCTCACTGCTAGAGTGGCATGCTCTGGAATGATGCACTTGGGACCCCAGAGGTTGGCCCCATCCTCAGCTGGTATAAATCCAGTATCACTCCACAGAGGCTGAATGTGCTGAACTGTCCTATATCACTGAGGTTGCTTTCCCTTTCTCTGTGGTGTGTGACAGGCAATAATAGTACCAGCAATGTGATCAGTACCTGGTACCATCCCACACAGTTTTTCATCCTTCTGGTGACTAGGCAGCAGACTGTATGGCCAGCCTGCTACAGCAAGCCCTTTTGCAGTATCCAGCCTTGCATTTGCATCATATGCAACCACTGTTGGTTCCCATCTACAAGAAGGGCTGGAAGGAAGACTCAGGGAACTCAAGAGCTGTCAGTCTGACCTCAGTGCCAGGGAAGGTGATGGAACAAATCATCCTGAGTGCATCACACGGCACATGCAGGACAACCAAGGGATCAGGCCCAGTCAGCATGGGTTCAGGAAGGGCAGGTCCTGCTTGACTGATCTTATTTCCATTTATGAGGAGGTGACCTGCTTGGTGGATGAGGGAAAGGCTGTGGATGTTGTCTACCTGGACTTTAGTAAGGCCTTTGACACCATCTCCCATGGGCATCATCCTGCTGGAGAAGCTGCTGGGCATGGCTTGGACGG